TCTCCTTCTCTAGACTTTATGGCCCATAATCTTCTGGCAGCTTTAGGATTTTTCTGATTCCCGCTATAAACTGGCAGTTCAACAATGTTGACAGAGCTGGTGTTTTTTTTTTCATTCAATAAATTTGTATTTACTTTAGAAGGTAGTAGTAACACAGCGGTACAAAAGATTAACAGGGAAAATCAAGTACAAACTTTAAACAATACTAATGCAATGGCGGACAAGAAATAAAAATTTAGCAACAGCAGTGATAGTGGAGGCAAATCACAGATAAAATCACACTAGGGATTGGTCACTTTGATATTGGTTCAACTCATAATTTCCAAGTTTGAAATTGGATTGGGCACGCTAAGTACTTGTAAAGGTGCCCATACACCTTGCGATTATCGTTCGATTTCCGAACGACATTGGGATTTTGTGCGATAATCGGCCAGTTAATGGGAACTGGCAATCAGTATTAATGTACAACTGGCCGATTCGTCAGGCTGGGAAACTTTTTCTAATCGTACAAAAATTGATGGATTAGTGGTGTTTTCGTACGAAAAAAATTGCAACATGAACACTGTAAACACTGTGCAAACGAAAATCCGTTCTGTCGATCGACGAAATCTGCTCAGTTAATATTGCTAATGAATGATAATCGAAATCCACATTGGTCTGTGCATGATGGGGTATTCAAGTGGAAATCGAACGGCGGTTCGATGAAGGCACAAAAAAAATCTAATGATAATCGCAAGATGTATGGCCAGCTTTAGAGTAGTAGAAAAAAGAGTAGATAGGAACAGGAGGCTTTATAGAAGGGATGGAAAAGGGCATTGCTGGGGTTCCTTCACACACGAACGTTCAGGCCCCGTTAAGATTAGGGGATTACAGATCTGTGAGGCAACAGTTAAAGAACTGTAGTAGAAAGTGCTGTATCCAAAGTTCCCAAACTTTCTTAAATTTGGGCATGGCATCCAATAGCCTTGCTTCCAAATAAATGTCTAGTGGACTCTAGGATACCTGCTGACTCAATTCACAAGGCTAACGCACCAGGATACATTTTCTTATTTTCAAAAGAAATTTCAGATTAGTCCAATAAGATTTGAAAGTTACAGTCCCATGGCTAAGTTAGAGAGCCTTATCATTATGATAAAACTTTGTGAAGCGAGCTCAATGTGTTCTCAAGTACAAACTGCAGATTGGGGAATACTCATCAGTGAGTGAATAAGCAAGGGGCGCACAAGCCTCTAAATTTTATTTGGTTTCTTTGACTAGTGTTTACGTGCAGTTAGAGGTTAGTGTGTACTGTGCCGGCTTTATAATTATAGTAGAGTATAGACAGTGAAAAACCTTTACTCTGTACATATATGAAATGCATGGCATTATGTGTTCATATTATACATATATGGGTGCTGTAGATATGCACATCATGATGAGATAATTGGCAGTCAGATGTTGTCTTCTGGGCTGACTTGTTCAACATCTTACAGTTTTACCAAGGCAAGTTACCCCTTTGAATTAAGTGATCTCCGGCTTTGCATTCCTTGTAGATGATCAGTAGGGTTGCACAGATCCCAAGTACAGTACTCGGTACAAGTACGAGTACATGTACCGATACTTTTAAGCTCCAAGACTAGACTAGAGAAAAATTCAAAAATTAGGAGGCAGCTGTCATTTGTAAGGAGCACACGTAGCTCCTGGGATTTGTACATCTCTGTTTTAATGTACGATTTTGTTTTTATAAATAGAAATACAGGGATGCACAGATACCAGTTTTGTGAGTACGAGTACTGGTACTTGCCGAGTACTTCCAAGTACGAGTACTGATACATTTTTGTTTATTGTCATGTGACAGTTTTTCTAAAACAATACAGACTAATGATTTCAGGACAGTGGTGGAGTGCCAGAGCCCGGTCCCAGCTGCAACCGCTGCAACCCTGGTAGTTCTCATGAAAGTGCCAAGTATCTGCACTGGTACTCGAAAAGTATCTGTGCATCCCTATTTCAGTACATGTAGTAGCAATGCAGTTTATTGATATTTTAGATGGTCTCACTGACCCCTGTCAGCCGTGACATGCAAGGTTTTGTTTTTATACCCATTGACAGGTATAGCAATGAGATAGCCATTGTTTTGCTTTGTTCCATAATTCATTTCATCATTCATTTGTGGAGAAATCATTTGTCACTACTTTCATTAACGTTAAGTACAGTCTAGTCTTCTGCTTCCAACAGACATTAAAACATCGAATAAATCTGCTTACACTAAGTAATAGGCTGTTGCTTTGAAGGTATACTAACATTTTAATTATGACTAACTCATTATATTCCTGAGAGCCTTCATTACAGAGATTGTGAGAAACCCCAAAACTATGAATGTCTCAAATATAGTATACACATATACCGCCACCATACAGTAAACTGAGAGTGATCATGTTTGATATCATGTCACTGAGAAAGAATTACACTAGCTTATAACTAGGGGCAATAAAGCATGCCCAACTGTCATTGAGGCCATGAGGTCAAATGGCTCATCCATCATTGCTCCTCCAAATGTATTATCCTTGTGTATGCTTTTATTGCATTTTGAACAGAATATTGTGAGATTGTACTTCCTGTTTCAACCATTCTTTTATTTACATCTTTGGGAGATGAGACTGTATGCCATCTTATTAATAATGGATAGCCATGTAACAACTGAACTCAACATGGAAGTTTATTGTATATAATATCGGAGTATCTGTGTTAAGATTTTCAATACAGGCTCAGTCATATTAAATGATTCATCTAGTATTTCCAATGTTGACAAGGCATAAACCCAAACATACTCATTTAAGTAATATCACACAATTTTCTTTGATAAATCATTTCTAGTAGAAATTAAAAATACATAAGATGGTATATAAATCATAATTTGGGTATACCTGCATCTTTTCTACAGAGTGTCAAACCATGAGGAGAACTCTATGCTACTAGCTGCATCTAGAGCCAAAGTTTTCAACTGGTGGGTCTTGACCCAAAAGAGGGTTGTGACTCCATGTTCAGTGGGTCGCCACATGCCTTCCACTGCACTAGGTCAGAGGCTCCTCAGCCTCCCCCATAGCGCAGCACAGTCAGTTCTCATGCCGAGGAGCCATTTAAAATATGCTTCCTGGTGTCGAGTGTCAGCTTGAGGTGGTGTCTGCTAGGGGTATGGCCGCAAGGAAGCTCCATCCATACGTGCATTGCTTACAGCTCCCTCGTGTGACCAGAGTGATGTCACATTCTAGCTCCCGCCACCTCTACAGGGAGTGAAAGGGAGCTGTACAAGAAATGCACATATGGATGGAGCTCCGCCACAGCACAGCAGCCCATACTGAACCCCTAAAAAAAAATTTCGGAGTGTGTATGTGAGATTGTGTCTCTGGTTGTGTGTGTCTGTCAGTGTTTTAATCGCACACTACGATGCTTTTAATCGCACACTACGATGCTTTTAATCGACACTACTGTTCGTTCTGGTGCAGGAGGTGCGCCACGTTGCCATTAATTTGAATGGCACACCAAACACACCCCAAACACACCTCCCTCCCACAGTTTGATCACTTGCACCGGAACATGCGGTACCACAATGCTGTGCGTTCCAGTGTGGTGTGACTTGGGTCATGACTTAATGACCAAGGACAAATGTGGGTCCTGAGGTTACACAGGTTGAGAACCACTGATCTAGAGAAAACCTGGGCTGTATGTGGATTCCTGATTTTTTACTCTAAATCAGCAGCACTCCATCGATTTTAGAATGGAGACACACATGGCAATATAAACTTTCTGAACTCCCTGACTGTCAGTCTACTGTTGTTTTGGATTGTCAAATGTAAGCTGTGGGATCACATACATATTCCCTACACATAAAGTGCACAAGTTTACACCAATGTTCCAGATTAGTATTTCACCATTATAGTGCATTATATTCTGTAATTTTCGTATGACCTTTATTTGATAGTTACAAACTTGTAATTATGTTGGGGTCATTTAAAGTGTTTTCGGTGGTCACTGGTTCTTGTTATGCAGGTCTGTTCATGTGGACATTTTCTCATTAACTGCAGTTATGGGGTTAATTTTTCAAAGGCAAATAGCTGTTTATTTTGCAAGGGAAATTTCCCTTAACTTAGTGAATGTGGTAACAACCCACTTTGCAAAGAATACCCAATCATGTGTAAGAAAAATATAAATACAGCAATTTGTTTGTTTGCACATGATTGGATGATGGAAGTCAGCAGAGCTTCACTTCATTCACTAAGCTAAGTGAAAATTCCCTTGTAAAGGAAAAGTCTATTTTCCTTTATTAGCCTTGTGTCGCATTGAGTGATTACTCTTCTTAGTATCACTTGACAAGTCTAATAGAGCTGGAGTCCCTTAGTGCACATTGGTCTTATTGTTCTGTGAGGTGACAAAATCCATCATAAATACAAGCTTCAATGCAATCTTATACCACTCTAATCTAGAAATACCACATAAAATGTACATACAGTATGGGCAGATCATTCAAAATGGCTGGTGATTTCAAATAAATGATTAGAGAGCATCCAAAAAAGTCTATGCTCCTTCACTGTTTCTTGTGTTCACCATAAAGACTGCTAGTTAGCTGTAACAGAAAACAGGATGTGTTTTTCCTCAAGAAAATCCTCATACTGACATTTTTTGGCATATAAGATGTGAGCTTTACTATCCTTTTCAGAGCAAATGCTAAAGAAGAACTCTAGGAAAGCAACAAGTGATAATCTGACCCAGCTTTTTGCTCTTGGCAATCAAAGATTCCGTCTTGCTGCTTGCTTGCTGTGCTTCCAGCCTTCTCCAGCATCGGACATGCACATAATGGCTGTGATCAGCAACAAAATCACATGCTTGACACCGAACATGGCTCATTAACCCTCTATACACATTATTTCCTTGAATCCTCAGTTTCATTAAAAAATAGTTAGTGATATTTCAAATGATTTCAAATAAAGATTATGTATTCATCAGCTATATTTGATTTATTTCAGGGTTACCCCATCATCGGAGAACCCCAATGCAGCCGCTTCCAGTACTAGCCAAGGAAAGCCATCTCTACGGAGAATAAAAGGACGGATCCACAGAAGCAAAAGCCTGGATAGTGTGGATCTCTGCGAGTTCAATGTAAGTGTTTACATATCTGTCCTAGTGATTACAGTTGTATATTGTGGTTGTGGCTATAGTAAAAGGAAGGTGTTTCAAAATCCTTTTTTATAAATGTAATATTATGCTATTTTATGAATTTGATATTATTTTGCATACAGCTATCCAAGCACTTTGTGAGTAACTAACAAAGAGTGGTGCATAAAGCCTGTGCCACTCTTCTAAATGGAAAACGGAGCAGATTATTATTTTCCTGATTATTAAAAGGGGTGTAACGGCCCTTTGTTAATTAGGAGTGATCTGCTTTCCGTTTTCTATGCCGTGCTGGCGCACAGAGCAGGAGAACTGGAGCTATTTGCTCTTCCTCCCTCTGCCTGACCTCCTTCAGGGAGAGAGTGGAGGAAGCATGTCAACCCTGCATTTCTTGGGGTTAAAAGATGGGCATATAGGCAGGGAAATGATTGTTTCCTCCCTATATGCAGACTCTGTCCATGTAGTGTGTTCACTGCATGAGCAGAGCCATCTGCCAGTTTCACATTTCTGTGCCAATTTCTATCTTGCTATAAAATAGAAACTGGCGCAGGTGGTACAGACAAACCTGAAACAGGTCCTGGCACAGACCTAGCACAGAAAACCTTGTTAATTCCCCCCAATGAGTCATTACACCTGATGCTTTTCACCCACAGGAGCTGAACCCTAGGGTATGGGACAGTATTCTGCTTATATCTGCAATTCTGTTCTGTGGCCAGGATGCTTTTAAGAACTGCATGTATAATATAATTTATTTTATGGATATCACAAATAGAGGCAGTGAAAAAAAAAATACATAAATAAAAGCATGACAGAGGACAGAACCTGTGCAAAGTGAGGGCTACCAGTATTCTCATTCTTATATATCAGGTGTGCATTGCTGTGTTTTACTACAGCAGCAGTTACTGTTTTTGTCACTTTATAACCCTTCATTGCTATACAGTCACTGACCTGCTGGGCTAGCTGTCACTGACACTTATTACTACACATCATGACTTTTCATGGCATAGGGTGGTGACTTTTGTCACGCAAACATGATGTTGGTATTAAGCAGGGTCGGTTTGAAGATCTGGGGTTGGGAAGGAAAGTGGCAGTGAGAAGGTGGTACATCAAAAATGATTTCATGATTGACTTGTGTGTGTTGGAAAAACTCTGACAACCACTGAATGCTTTGTCTTGAAAAATGACTGATCTCAATATGCATATATTTAGTTGTAATTTCCAGCTGTTCAGCAAATATTAACCATTCTGTATATTAACATGCTATTCCAAAATTATTAGGCTGTGGTATCATGATGACATATGAGGAATGTCCCAATGCACACGTGGCAAAAGTGTGCTATAAAAAAAAAACAACAAAAAAACAGGTTATAGATAAAAAGAACAAACTGGGTAGCCATGACTGCTGGGTAGCCATGTGTTTAGACTATTGTTATAGAAAAAAATGGGGAAATTTGCTAACACTTCAGAAAGGGAAACTATATGACAATTAGGGATGCCCCAATACAATTTTTTCAAGACAAAGTACAAGCACAAGGACTTTCCCTCATATACTTGCCTATACCAATTACTGATACTTTTTCTTAAAGGGACATGTGACACTTTTTCAAAAACAATACATACTGATGATTTTAGGGCAGTTTCTTTATAATTATGAAGAACTGTAACTCAATCCATGATTATTCAGCAATGAAGAATGCCAACTGGCTATAGAGGACCACAAATCTCAGCAATCCATGATTATTCAGCAATGGAGAATGACAACCAGCAATCATGGATTGCTGAGATTTGTAGCCCTCTATAGCTGGTTGCCATTCTCTTTTGCTGTATAATCATTGATTCCCATCAATCCATGATTATACAGCAATTATACAGGGCCGGGGTGCGGTCTCACCAGGGTTGTATATGGGTCTCACCAGGGCTGTGTGTGTGCAGGTCTCACCAGGGCTGCATTTAGGTCTCATTATGGCTACGTGCAGATCTCACCAGGGCTGTATTTGGGTCTCACCAGGGCTGCATTTTGGGTCTCACCAGGGCTGCATTTTGGGTCTTACCAGGACTGCGTGCAGATCTCACCTGGGCTATGTGGAGATCTTACCAGGGCTGGGTGCAGTCTCACCAGGGCTGCATTTGGGTCTGACCCGGGCTGTGTTTTGGGTCTCACCAGGACTACGTGCAGATCTAAACAGGGCTGTGGTCTATCCAGGGCTGTGTGCAGATCTCACTAGGACTGCGTTTGGGTCTCACCAGGGATGCATTTTGCGTCTCACCAGGGCTGCGTTTGGGTCTCACCAGGGTTGCATATGGGTCTCACCAGGGTTGCATATGGGTCTCAACAGGGCTGCGTGCAGTCTCACTAGGGCTGCATTTGAGTCTCACCAAGTCTACATTGTAAAGCGCTGTGCAAACTGTTGGCGCTATATAAATACTATGTAATAATAATAAGTCTACATGCAGTCTCACCAGGGCTGTGTGCAGATCTCACTAGGGCTACTTATGAGTCTCACCAGGGCTGCGTGCAGAGCTCACCAGGGCTGCATGTGGGTGCCAGGCTCTCTGTGCTGTCTAAGTGTGGGTGCCGGGGGCTGCGGGTGGGTGCCGGGCTCTTCGTGTGGGTTACAGGCTTCAGGGCTGTATGGCGCTGTGGGGCTGTCCTTTGCAGTGCCAGTCTCTGGGGGCGCCGGAAAGGAGGAGATATGGAGCAGAACTGGCACTGTCAAAGACAGCTGCCCGAGGTCCCCAGCATGCTGCCTGAGGTCCCCAGCAAGTGCTGGACCTCAGGCAGCCAAACCTTTATAAACATTTAAAGGGCCGGTATTGGGCTTTAGTATCGGTGCATTTCCACAAGTACAAGTACTCTTGAAAATGCCCTGTATCGACTGATACTAGTATCGGTTTCGGGGCATCCCTAATGACAATATTATCAAGTTATGGTTAGTACTTTGCATATAGTTGTGTTGATATACAGACAGCGTTAAGCATTGCCCCACACTTTTGCTAGTGATGGTAAAACATGCAGAAGCAACACCAGACACTGCAATGTGACTTCATCGAAATTTCCAGCACAACAGCAAATGACCAAATACTAGGTGTCAACACTGTCATTGACCTGAACCCATCCAGCTTGCCTTTCAGATCCTCTCCTTGCCCCACCTCCAGTCAAGATTATTTGTGTAGCAAGTGTGGTTATCACCCCAATGCATACCACAGAGTGCGTGGCAAGTGTAGAAAGATTAAACTTTGACCAAACAAATCACTCCTGGATATGCAATTATTTTTAGCCCCCCTACCTGATATTAACAAATAGGCACTGCCTATAACTGCTACCACCACCATTTATATTACCCCCCCCAATTCACATGCTGCAATAATTCTATGCAAAATATGCTCAGTCTTCCATTCCCTCACTGGCACAGAATCTGTATTTTACAGCCAGTCATGGGCCTAATGTCTACTGCGCAACCCCTGAATAAAAAAAATGGAATTTGATTAAAATGAATTGTAATTTGGACCCATTTTTAGATGTATGTTCATATAAAAATGAATTTGTAATAAAGTAAAATTAAACCTTCATTGAACTCCACTATATCAACTGTAAAAATGTAAATTACACAGGATTGCCATTTTAACATTTGGAATGATATTTAAAGCTTACATTTTACTGCTTTAACCCCTTCATGACTGAGGCCTTTTTTTGATTTTTTGTACCCATGTTATATTCCACATTTTAGGCCAACCATGTACAGTATATTTCTGCAGTTTTGTGTACTTCTCTCTACTGTTCCAAGAGCAGCTCTGAAAGGACTACATTTCCAATACAGCTTTGTAGTGCTTCTGAAGAATGCAGGCTGAATATTCATGTACAATGTACATCATATGATGAGAACACTGCCCCTGCATAGACACTCAGACAGTGTCGTCAACATATGACCAGAGGTTGCAGCCAGGCATTTACTGGCAGATTCACCAGGTGCCAGAAAGCCTGAAGAGAATTTGCAATAGATTGAACGTGTTTACTTTATTACAAATTAAATTCATCAATTCATCGTGGGCCGCATCAGCAGTATGGTTACCCTCAAAGGGCCGGTTGTATAGGACTATGCATCTACTCTTTATTATCATAAATAGTTGCCTCTGCATTCAGTTGCTACTGGTTTTAATAATAATGTAAGTAATAACTAGCCTTGAAAACATCCACAAGAAACTTTATTGGAGACTGCTCAGACTGCAGCAGAAATCCCTAATCTGGCGTTTTCAAGTGACAGCTGTCACCTAGTCAAGTTAATGATCAGGTGACAGCAGCTCCATGTAAACATGAAATGATCTCAAATTCTGGCTCCTGACACCTCTACAGGGAGCACAAGGGAGCTGTACAAGTGGACCTCAGGCTGAGTATCCACTCCAGTTCTCGTAAGGTAGGGTGACTGGGTGGATTTAAAAAAAAAATAAAAAAATGTTGAGGGCACATTCACAGTGTGGTAATCACACAGTTCCGTGCTTTGGATTGCCACTCTTTTGAATGGCACCCCAAATACATCTCCCACCCACAATTCTATTGCCCACATCGGAACGCGTGGTACCGCAATGCCATGCGTTCCATTGCAGTGCGACTTGGGTCGTGATTTAATGACCGAACACAAATGTGTGTCCTGAGGTTACACAGGTTGAGAACCACTGCTTTAAGAGATGGTTCACCACTGGTTGTTACTTTGGGAGTGCTTTGTTCACTCAGGCTACCTAGATTGAGGGTAGATAAGGATTGGTGGAAGGGCATGGTGGCTGCACAGTGGGGGGCTATGTTAGGAGGAACACTACTTCTAAACAAAACCCAGCAAATATATGTCTGTGGACTTGGGCTCCCCTTAAGTGAGCAGGACTAGCCCCGGCTGGGGCAGGGAAAAGGAGTTAAGGCTTTTCACTGAAGTATGGAGCTTAAGAATAGAGCATGAAACTGTGTGGGCACTATTTATGCCTTTATGGATTAATGAAGG